AACTAGTATGGCTGCGAAATCGATCGGAATTTGGTCGGATATTGAACATGCTGGAGATAGCTGCCGAACGCTTGAAAATGGTACAATGCTGTTAGATTGCTGCGAGTCCGGGATGCATGGAAGTTTCACATCAGCCATTTCGAGATTACCAGCTTTCAGGCTCTCCTTGGCTGGAGATGAATATACACTTCTCTGGAAACTCTGTGTTCGATAGATAAATTCTGTAGTTTGGATAACATCATTTTCCGAGGCTCCACAGCTTCGCTGGGGCGTTAAGGTGTTGGATGTACATTTAGCACCAGTATCGTGGCAAGTAAGGGCACCTCCATCCGTAGGTTCATTCCTTGTAGTAGCTTCTAGGCTGTTCCTCACTCCTAGTGGCTGTAGCAGCGCTCTCAGCCTGTTCCAAGTTTCAGAGGAGGGTTCCTTGGGTGATACAGCGTCCATCTGGTCAAGTGATTCTTTAATTTTGTTTACCCAGTGTTCCGAATCTTGGACTCGCCGAAGCAAAGTGTGTATCTCGGATTTTGCCTTCAACTTACCAGTCTCGAGGCTTAACCTGGCTGATGTTTCCACCGAGAGCTCCCTTTGGATTTTTATGCATTCTTCTTCCTTCACCAGGAGGTTTCTCTGAAGTATGTCAAGTTTGTCTTCTGACAGCTTAGATAGTGCACTGCTCTCTTCCCTGACCACAATGAGCTCCTTTTCAAGGCGTGTAGCTTTTTCGTTAGCTTCATAGAGCTGTCTTTGCATGCATGACTTCTGCGTTGCGATTGATATTTCCATTTCTCGAAGTCGGCTGACCTCTGCAGCTTGTTCCGCAAGTGCGTTCTCTTTCTTCATACACTTGCTTTCAAGGGCTTTTATTTGTTCATATTTTGCTAATAGCTTCGGGGATCAGTAAAAGCCATGTGCTGGGAGTAGTCATGCGCCTACCAAATATTCCGTTTCATTCTGCTTCTTCGTATGTGCTGTTTCACTCTCGCCCTTTGTATTGTCAGCCAATATTCAGGTACTTGGCGAATATCGTAGCATACTAGTGCTTTTAGCGCCCCCATTAATTCATCTCGGACTTTTTCAACACTCTTACGAAGGTCGTCCCTCTCTCTTAACAGTTCATGAATTTGTTGTTCATACTTGACTTTATGCTGATCTCGAGAAATGACGCTGGCCCTATTAAGTTCTTCGCGGATTCTGGACTCTATAGTCTTAACTTCATCTTGGAGTACGATTGCCTCTGATTCGAACTTGCCTGCGCGGCCTTCTGCTTCCTGGCCCTTCGTAACGGCTTCGAGCAATGAGAGTCTTATCTCTTCATTTTCAATCGCTCTGCTCCTGAGGCTTTCTTCAGTTGTTCTCAGCTCATCGGATAGTTGTTGTATCCTTAGGTTAAGTTCAACGCTTTCTTTAATTTCTGCGGATGTAGGCTCGGTTGTTTCTGGTGTTTGCATCTCATAGTGTCGGGTTTCAAGCTGTCTCATTTGTTGTGCGAGGCTATTCTCTTTCCCCTGGACAACCTCTAAGAAGGAACCGAGCTTATCAATACTCGGTGCACAAGCTTCAAGCCTCTCGTGTAGACTAGTACATGTGACTACATTCGCGGAAAGCTGTTTCAGTAATGCAGATTCGCCTCCCATATTTTCCTGAACAGACTGAAGCTGTTCTGTTAGAAGCTGTGTCTTATCTCCATTCACCTTCGAGCTTCTTTCGATGACCGCTGCCAAGTCTTCCGTGAGAGACCTGAGTCTGAAGATAATTAGTCATGTTCTCTCTCAGGGGTAACATCTAGCTAACAGTAACTTACTGAGATGAATATTCTTGAACAGCCGCTTTACACTGCTCAAAGTCCAACTTTCCTTGGGCATGATCCTCACCCATGCGCCTAAACGACATTTGAAACTCTTCTAGTACTTGTTCCATAATTGAATGTGCAGATTTATCAACTTGCTTTGCCACAGTTCCAAATCCTGAATCAAGCTTTCTTAGCATTTCGAGCTGGTCAGCCCTGACAAGGCCTATCCTTTTCGCCTGAAGGCGTGAGTTGTCCTGTATATACGTCTCTAACAAGGCTGATCTTTTCTTTTCGTCGGATAATCGCTCCTGGACAGAGTTTGTCTTTTCCTCTGCATCCTTCAAAGCCTGCTTCATGGAGCTGATCAAAGTTTGTGATTCGACAAGATAACTTTGACTCTTCTCAACAAGACCGGTAGCTTGTAACAGCTGCTCCCTTGTATTAGCAATTGTCCCTTTTATTTCCGCTTTATCTTTATCTAGCGATGCTCTTGTCAGTCTAAGCTGAGTAGTTTCTACGCTAAGTGCATTGTAACCAGAACCCAGCTCGTTGATGATGTATTTGAACTTCGCTATTTTCGCCCTCCAAGCCTCTAATTGAGTTTTATACGCCCTAGACTCCGAAGCCTTTTGCTGTATCTCATTAATAAAGACGTCGAGTTGGCTTTTCAAAGCAAGATTTTCTTGCGTCAGCTCTGAGAGATTGGCCTCCATCCGTTCTTTCTCATTGAGAACGGCAGCATCATTGTCTTCTCGAGCTTTAATCTTGACAAGCAGGAGTTGAAATAGTTCCTCCTCAGACAGGTCTGCATGGCTGTTACCAGCAAGCGTAAAGGCGGGTTGTCTTGAGGTGATCTTTTTCCCACTCGCTCGACGACGTTTCGATACTCTTGACTTGTTATTCGTAGGGGACAGTGAAATAATTTTCCCGTCCTCGCGTGTTAGGAGCTCAGCAGCACATGACTTCATCAACTCTGCTGTGCACTGTTTGGGTGACTCTGGAAATCTGTCGTTGATCTTGTTTTAATCAGAGTCACATACTTTCGTAGACTAAAGGTATCCGCTTACCTTGTTCTTATTGAGGGTCATTGTCTTTATGGCTGGAAATTTCTCAGCGCAACCAGGCAAGTGTAACTGGCCCACGTACCTTGTGTCTCATTTTCCGGTGATAGAAGTTGTCCGTTGGTAACAGTTGGAAAAAGGGCGGCTCCTTCATATTGAGCTTGATTGAGTTGCGCGTGACGAACATTGGAGGTGGGGGCATGGTCTATTCTAACAGCAGGTTTTGCTTTGCTATTAACAGTCTCTAATTCTTGAGAAAGCGGGGCTTCCGAAGATAAAGATGTCCTTGTAACTGGGCGATTTGAGCTGGTTTCTATTTTATTCGACCGGGAAGCAATGTTTCTGGATATTTTCTTTATTAGAATGAACGAGAGCCAATGACGTTAACTTACTTCAAGTGGTGAGCTTGAGTTGTACCATCGGGCTTTCTGGTTCTATTCTGCTCCATTTGCATGATGGTATTGCCGTGAGGCGCGGGAATAGCGGAAGCTTGCTTGACTGGTGGATGAAGCGTAAATGTCTTTCCATGCTGTGCAGGTCTGGCAAAGGAGAAAGCTGTTAGGTCAATACCAGAACTCCGTGGGCGTTGTACAAGTGATGCCGCGGATTGGTTTTGGTCAGCTGTTCGAATTAATTCCGATCCCCTCTCCAGGACTGCGTTAAGATTAGGTGAGACAGGCTCAGTGTTGGATCCCGCCATTTGGAGCAGAAGCATCTCTTCATCATCTCCAATTTCATTGGGTTCACTGTCTCTTTCCCTAGCGGAGATAGTCGAAGGATCACCCACTAACGGGTCAGGGCTGTCGCTCCCCATGTTGAGTCAGGCTGTACAGCATGTTCTGTACGCATCAGAGACACTCGTATTCCCAGTAATTCAAGTCAGCAGACAGGAATGTGGACGTATGGTAAGTATCAACCGCTTTTCTAGAGTACGATTGCTGGTATTATGGATAAAACAGGCTGATGAGACATTCTGTGGTTATAGGGGAAAAAATAAAGAGCGAAGAGAAGTGAATTCGTCATGGAAGTCCCAGAAGACAGTTCTCGTGATGAACAGGGGTGTACTCTTTAGGAAGGAACATCGAGCAGCCTGAGAATCATGGCTTCCAGGCGTGACGAAAACCCTATTTCAGATGCGGCAGTATCATCGGCATACCCATGACTACTAGTACTAGTCATAACTCCTATGATTCCTCTAATATCATTAAGCATACTTTCGAAAACATATGAATCGTGATTAATGGGAGTTTGGCTGTCATACCAGCATTATAGACATTTACGATTATCTCCACAGACTGTATTTGCTTCTGAGATGAATCTACCCTCTATTCATATTCTGGCTCAGGTAGCCTAAATATACACCTTCTAAGTTTAGAATTGCTACGATTCAAAGGACTAGGTCCATGAAAGATGCTTGCCCCATGAAGGATCAATCTACGGAGTAAAAAGGATACATTTCGTCCACCTTGAATTACGCACAGACGTGTGTGGCTGCGCCCTTCCATTTTGACTATAGCGATCACCCGCTATACAAACGCCAAAACGGTTTCTATGGCAAAACTCAAGCAACAAAGCGTTCGACTACTACCCGAACTGATTTGCAGGGAGCAATTGAAGTCAGCCTAGCAGAGAGTTTGAAATCCCATCTCGCTTAAATTCAAACTCCGGCATATCTGCGGTTTCCTCCTCCTGGCGCCTCGGGCGTATCTCTCATTGGTTGCGGCCACGATGCTAAGGGCGGTTATCACCAGGATCAACATAACATCACATCCCCGGTCGTCTCTTGCGAACATGATTCGCTCTGTGAATCCAAATTTAGGTTCTTCAGCACAACTGTATAGACCACTTAATGAGGTAGAATACGCCTCCTCATCCTTCAAGTCTTGGGACTGTTGTTGGTACCCTATCACAAGGTTGTACCTGTCATACAGCCTTTTACTTCGTATTCATGTAGCGCCCACAATGTTGTGCTTGAGCTTGCTATATAGACTAGTATTGACTTCACCGTTGTGTCTTCCACCTAACCATCTTTATTTATATCCTTACGTATACTTTCAAAACACGAAAAAGCAAACCCGCACTCATAGATACAGTACCAGACCTTGAAGATCTTACCAATTCTTCCCATTTCACTGGGAACCACCGACATGCCTTGGGAATCTGCCTTCTCCTGCATTATCCTCGCTACTCTTACAGCGCAGTCAAGAGCACAGGGACTGATAACCGATGTGGAAGGAGAAGGATATGGCCCAAAACCAAGCTCCAGCTCAATGTCAGCGGGGATGATCGTGCTATGCGTGGTAGCAGGAATTGTGGTTTTGATCGGAAGTCCGTTTTCCAAAACTCCCATCGCTCCGATCCCAGCTTTATGTTACTTGGGCATGTTTACTGACCCTAGCCACTCTGCAGTCTCCACAACAATTTTGTTCATCATTGCGAAAAGACGCCAATGGGCAATGCGCGAGGTCATTACACGGTCTGCTCGACGAGCCACCCAGGCCATCAAGACTCCCTTGTCAGCCAGGTTTCCGAGATCTCAGGTCGCGCGAGGCATGGACTCGGAGTTTCCTACCAATCGCGCCGAAGAAAGAAGTCAAAAGCTGAAGGTCAATCCAAAGCACAACGATATAGAGAAGAACTCTCTTATTACGGAAACAGAAAAAGCTAGAAAAGGAGGAAACGGTCGGACGTGGAGGTCACTATTCCCCTCTGGTCATTCATAGATGACTGTTGGTTCACTCTCTTGTTTTATGAAGTATATGTTTGGTCTGCCTCGGGGTATGTTCGTCAGTTTATAGCGATGACTTATGTATATGTCTGGATTTAGGCGTGCTTGATGCATAGTATCGTGGACTTCTTTTGCGTTGAATGTTTCGGGCCCTAGTATTTCCTTTACTATTCTTAGATTTTGAGATTCAATCATTGATACCACCAGTCGAATTGAAAAAAAAAAAAAGCACCCTTAAATAAGAAAGTGATAGTCTGATAATTGAACAGTTTAGTCATAAAATACAACTTACCTCCCAAGATGAATGTCGCCTGGCCAAATTGATCTTCAACCAAAAGTCCTAATATGAACGGACGAGCCAAGACATCTCAACCCTAACACAATGAAAATACGACAGCAAAGCCCACACAGCACACGACCCCTACAAAGAAGTCCAAACTAGATCCGCTCTTTACCCCTGACACCTACAGATCTAAGAATTCCGTAGATCGAAAGGTAATTTCCCCAAAAGAGTGACATGCATTAGCCCGAGGAACTTGCTCACTTCGCATTGCTTACATTACATCGAATCCCTTCATCAATTTCCAAAAATCGCCACCCCAATCTGCTCTCGCAAAGGGTTTCCCGTACGTTGAGATTATTCATGTACCCACAACATCCACTTCAATGCAACCTTTCCCAGCCGAAGCAATATACAACACATGATTGTACGTTGTGGTACTCGCTTAATTGCCACCTCATCTCGTTTATAGATTACTCAGAGAAACGTGATCAATGTCGACAACGGCGTACTGAATGTGTCCGGCAAAACAGTCCAATTCAAGAACTACACATCCTGCGTCAAGCATGCCAAAGCAACATGCCATTGACCAGGAACTTCATTGCAGGGTCAGGGATCCTTCAAATCGAATATAGAACAAGATCTCACCTAAGCACGGCCAGCTCTTGACGTAGAATCAGCAACAGAATTACCTGAGACAAGCCCAAGAAGCGGGCTGGGAAGAAGGAAAATTAATTAAAAGAAGAACGGGGGGAAGAAAAAGGGAAAAAAAAAAAAAAAATAGGGAGAAAAGAAAAAAAAAGTGTAATCTGTCGAGATCCATATAATGTGGAGCTTTCCCGTCTGGATATGAACGCTGATTGTGTCAAGTGGCCGCAAATTTAAGTCTTTGGGTCATTAATATGCCCTGCCGCTGTCACGACCAAATCATGCAACTTGGATAGGTTAGCCTTGAGTCAGAGAAACCAATACGAGCATATTTCCCATGGGCCCATGAAGCGAGCTGGTGCATATTCCCGAGTCAGAGACGGCTTCGATCGTGGGAAAGCTGAGCTCGAGCGGAAAGCATACCCGAATCTCACGATCGAGTTAAGCAGAGAGATCTAGATCGGTGTCCGTGTGTATGACTTGCATTTCTTCAGTACGAAGCTAGGCTCAGCAGAAAGATACAAAGAAATACCACCTCTCAAAACAAGGGTCAACCCTACACAAAGCCCGTGTCCCCGTTCCATACCTCCAATCCAGAATATCCCAAACTTGGATGGGCCCAACAATCCTTCTCGAAAGCCACCTTATGTTGAGCCTAAATTTCGGGAACCAAGAAAAAAGCTGACACGGACCCAAGTAGGCTAATAAAGGAACCCAGGGAATAAAAACGGATTCTAGACCAGGCGATCCGGTTCCATGGAACCCTCGTTTCAGATATATCCCGTCGAAACGCGGCATACCATCCAGCGCTGCTACGGCTCTCGCCTCAGATTCAACGGATATCGGAACCCCCTGCAATCTCCGTTATAAACTCAATTTTAATATAAAGGATATATACATCGCCACGCCAGATTCTGCCCGTGCTGTTCGAATAACCTCACGTTTTAGCGACAATCCGGGATTTGCATGAAGAGCTGGCCTCTGATTCTAGTCTCAACACCTTCCATCTTAATCCAGCAATGGTCCAACAGACATTGTCCGCCACAACAACATCATCATCATCATCCAGCCAAAGTTCATACCAAGACCAACAACACAAAATGTCCAACAGACCCGATTCATTAAGAGCCTCACGCTCCATGAGCTATCCAACCGACAAACGAACAAAGACCAATCTACACATCCTTGTGGCCGAAGATGATCCCACAAATAGTACCATTCTGCGCAAGAGACTAGAAATGTCCGGACATACAGTATATCTGACGAGGGATGGGAAAGAGTGTGCATCTGTGTTTCGGGAGAAGGCGAATTGTTTTGATGCGGTGCTGATGGACTTACAAGTAAGCAACTCTTCGCTCGGATATACTAGAGATCAACGGGGCTAATGTGTGAGTAAACAGATGCCAGTAGTTGACGGCTTGACCGCAACAAAGATGATTCGGGAAAGTGAACAATCCTCTGCCAGGGGCGGAGCACTTAAGAATCGTGTCCCGATATTAGTTGTTTCTTCGTCCTCGAAGGAGAAAGATCGACAAGTATACATCGATACTGGATTTGATGGGTGGATTATGAAGCCTGTCGGTTTGCATCGGATCGGTGATCTGTTGGATGGGGTCTACGAAAACGAACGTCGCAGCAATTATATCTACAGACCCGGGATGTGGGATGAAGGTGGCTGGTTTGAAGGATGATTGACCGAATGAAGAGCTTGATGCTACCATTTGGTTATTCCAGGGGCATTGATTGACTCCTGGGAATATTGTCATGCCGTTACGATGAATGCTACTTGTATAATATACACTGTCTGCACACAATATATCCTGTTCATGAGCACACAAGAACTATTGATATAACTTGGAGACCCTCTAAGCCCCCTCTTTAACCATTTTGTGCAGTAAGAATAGGATATAAGCCTGTATATACATCAAGACGACCATGAGCGACCCTGCGGATGTCCGATGAGCAAACTAGAATACAACCGTAGCCCACCACGCAAATATATGCAACTTGAACCGAATCCAAAAATAGAAGAAGGGGAAATCTAGAAACATACAATGAAACAAAGAAACCTAACTAATAAAATTCCGGTAAATCCCCGAAACTCGGAATATCATCACCACACTTGAAATCTGGAGCGTAAGCTTTCTTCGGCATATAGCCATTCTTCCAAGCCGTTTTGTAGCTCCACTGGGCAGCGGACTCGGTATGCCAGGTCCAATAAAACCAGCCCTGAGCTGTTCCAAAAGCAGACATCTGCGCCTCGGCATATGTTTGAAGGAACTTCTTGTAGCCGTCTGAGTAATCCGCAGGAGGGGCATTGGCGGAGGCACAGCTGCAGGTTGGTCCTGTGTCAGCAGTGGGACAGTAGACCGTTGAATCGCCTATAGCAAAGGTGCCCTCCCAGCGGGTGCCGCGACCGACGTTGTTGAGGTATTGGGCACAGTCGGTATCAGCTTGGGACCATTCGCCGCAGATGGTTGGGCCCCAGCTATTTTTTTTTTGTATCGTAGTTAGTAGCTGACTAGACATGGTCGTGATTTGGGTGTTGAGGGGGGTTTAGTTGAACGTACCCTGCGCTTGTGGTGTTGATCTCTTTGATCATGTTGTACCAGTCATTACAGATGAGCTTTACCCGGTCCGTGTGGTTAAGGACAATTTGTCCCGTGTTGAAGATGGTGTACTGGTGAGTGTCCAGGAACATCCGGTCCGGCCGGTCCTTCAGCATTTTCTTCCATTTGCTCAAGTTCAAGAAGCCGTCGTGGACGGTGACATAGGCTGAAATACCGTTCTTCTGCACCAGCTTGGTGGCATCTGTTGTCCAATTTAATACGTCCTCGACCGGCAACGAGAGCATGAGTGGCTCATTGACGAGCCCGTAAATTGTAACAACATTCTTGTAGCGGGGTTGCGCGAAGAACTGCGAGATTTGGTTGTGGAAATCGAGAGAGCGCTGTCTGTTCAGTTGGCCGTCCGTACCATTCAACCAGCCGATAACTCCCTCGCGGCCGCTATGGTTCCAGCCATTTTGGCTACCCGGAATGCCATGCGGGTCTAAGTTAACGCGGAGCCCGTACTTTCGGCAGTATTCAATGGCTCGCAAGAGGTACCTCCATGAGATTTTTGCGACATACGGATCATCGTCATACGTTGTGACCGCCCAGTAGGAGAATTGGATACGAACATGATCCAATCCTGCATCCCTCATGTCTATAAAATCTTGTTCTGAAATAAAGTCGGCATAATGCTTTTCGATTGTCGAGGCAGCGGACGATCCAAGCTTTTTGCATAGTGTATACTCATCGATAATTCTGTCCTTGCTTGAGTAACTCTCGAATAGTGAAGGGACAATAAAGGGCTCGATTGACAGCCATCCTCCAAGGTTCACACCGCGAATTGGTTGCGAACCGTACGGGAAAGATTCGTTTAACGGGGGCACATTGTCGTTAGGCCTTGTTGAGTCGTCCCATGTTGAGTTTAGCCCCATGATAGGAAGGCCACCGACAGTCTCGTTGGTGAAGGTCAGGTTAAAGTCTCTAGTGTCGTACCACGTCCAGGGGTCCAGTATTGATCCCTGAGCATATTCCTAAACACACTGGTTAGCAACGAGCCGCAGATTTGCATGGAAGTAGACATACTGGAATGCTGTCATGACTTAGCCCATCCAAGCTTGAGATATAAGGCGAGTCGCTGTTATCGACGGAAGAGTTTGAGCCTGATTTATCATCATCATCATCATGGCCATGTTTCTTAGACATAACGACAGCAACCGGGATAACAATAGCGAGCACGACGATCAGCACACCTATGACAATCCACCATTTCTTCCGCTTCCAGAATGGCGGTTGTGCATTGGGGTTCTCCATACTTCCATCCCAATTACCCTCCTTCCGCCATCTGGCCTCCATTGTTGGACCACCACCTCCGCGATGCCGAACCTCCATCTCTGGATGACCCTCTTCCAGATAAGCACCAGACACGATTCTGCCTTTCGACTGTCCTCGGGGCGTCTCCTCAGGGAATGGAGCAAGAGTCTGCGGTTCATCGCCAACAATAGGACGTTTACGCTGACGCCTGCTCTCCGTCCGACGTTGTTCTTCTGCCTGCGATCTTTGCCATTGGTCTTCCTCATCATAATGGGAGCGGAGTTTGGCCAACGCATCAGCACTCAACAGATGGGATCCGCTGTTCGTAGAATCACTGCTCTTATGCTTCATTGCTGCAGCGCCGCGTGCCCTTTCCCTTCGCCTCTGCCTTCGCGCCTCTCTATCCATGTCGCGGGGTCGTTCCCCTTGGCCGTCCCGACTGCGATACCTCCGGTCCCTAGCGCCACGGGTAGGAGTACCACCGTCACCATAGGTTCCGTGCCTTCTGTATTCCTCCCCACCACGATTTCTATCTCTCCTACTTGGCGATGCAATTGGCGATTCTCCCGCCCTAGACCTTTCTCTCCGTCTCCCCTCCACATCATGCGATCTAAGAGGCACCGCAGGGTCCTCCGTAGCAACATCATATTCGTTCAAATCATTGTCATAGTCTCGAGATTCATGGCTTCGTATATCATGCTGGTAATCGTCACGCCTATATCGCCTTCGTTCACGGGGATGGTAATCGAAATCGTCATCGTCATCGTCATCATCATCATAAACCTCGCGATAACGTCTGCTAGGATCCCGCTCGCCGCGATAGCGGTCCCGACTGCGCGAGTGACTCGGCATGCAATTCTAATGTTAGCCGAAATGCGACAATCGCTCGATCTGCAAATTCGACAATGCGAATGCCGGGCGCCCCACTGGTTCACCGTAAAGCAGAAGCCCAGAACGTCATGAAAATTCGCGTCACAAGAGGAGTGGACGGCGGGGGTGTGTCGAATGGTTAAATCAAGGAATGAGAGAAATTGAAATCATCGTTAAGAAATCGCACGGAGGGAGAGCTCGAGGAAATAACCGCCAATTGTACATATGCGACGTGGGAAGCGCGACTCTATAGCCCAGACTTTAGTTGCCCGCGCTAAGATCCAAGTTTCTAAGGTGCCTCCCTTATCGCAGTAAACAAACTTAGCGACTAGAGAGCGCGTCGCTACCTACCATCGAAGCGAAAAACGGAGGCCCTTAGACCACTTATTAAAAAATGTAGAGCCCGGTAAGTAAGCCCTGATTCATTTCAGCAGGGCTGTTTCAGTCTGGAAGCTGCATATTACTATCTAGTATGCTATTGTTCGGAAGATTTACCGATTGCGAGGGATGGTTTATTTATGAACCTGACGACCTGAGAGGCCAACCCTTGGCGTTGGTGGAGAAGAAAAGTTGCGGAGCAACAAAAGCGGTGAATTTCAGATTAATAACTGCGAGATCATGTATCTTGTGGTAATGAGAAGAGGATTGTGGTTGCCTGGTTTCTTGGTTCATTTGATTAGTGGAGAAGAGTGACATTGAAGATTGAACTACCAAGGAAAGGTAGTTTGATCACGAGCTCTCTTACATGACCCCCTGTTCCCTGCCATATATGTGTATCAATGTCTATTTTGAAGTATTCACATTCAACGGAATAATATAGTAACATATGAACAAATCATTAATTACAAAAGGAACTGTAATCATCCAAGCCAATTGAGATCCTGGTTGAAACTGAAAAAAAAAAAAAAAGCTAGAGAAATAAAGGAGAAATGAAATATCTATGCAACCCCCTTCATAGCTTTCAACCACTATGCACAGCATAACCACTGCCAATCCATGACCATCAGGAGGGGTATGTAAACGCCATCTAAACAATCAAAAGCACACAAGACAGGAAACAAGATGTACATCCACGATAGGTTCGACATGCAGAATAGGAGCAAAGTCTCGCTGGTCAACTTAGTAATGATTATGATAATAAATTGGTCATATATGCACTTCCATCTGTACAACTCCGCAACCTAGACCAACACAAAAAGGGGAGAACGAAGATAGAGAATAGGTCTGCTCTTTGCTAAACCCACGAGAACAAAGAAGTCGAGGGCAATTAAAGGAATAATATTTTCTTCCGCGGCCCAGGACTCATGACAGTCTTGGGGTCCGAAAATGTGGAAGCATGAAGACACCAACGGCAGTCATCAATTCAGTCACCCTCTCGTGGCCATGTCGATACATTGCCAGGCACTTTTAAATGCAAGGGGCCAGAGAAAAGGACCAGCAGAATAGTAGGTCATGAGTCTTGCCGCTGAGGGATTTTTTTTTTGTTTTTGTGTAGCGCCAGAATTTTCAGTAATGTTAATTTTTCATCTGACCTCGGAATCTCAAACGCGACGGCCAGAATTGCTAGGCGAGGCTTCGCGAGATATATTGCATTAGACGCCATGATGCGACCAAACTTAATTGGGCCAGCCAGTGGTGCAACACGTCGGCGATCTGTTGAATGCTGTAGGAGAATTCCATTTCGAGAGCCGATGCTTCTCCGACTAGCTCAAGAGTAGAGGCCGAAGGAAGGCAGGACGCGTTATGTCGCCCCTGCCGCTTGAATTGAGTCATGTCCTCAGCTAATGATTTGTCTAGCTCCTTCTTTGCCCAGAACACCTGGTTCCTGTGGCTTTGGACTCCTGTCACGGCCCTTCTTCCGGCTCAGGAAGGCTAACATGCCGCTGTTCGAGGATTTTCCTTTGATAGAACCAGCATCATAACCTTCGGCTGGGAGGGTCGAGCTTTGATCAGCCAACTCACTCCAACTGCCTGCTTCCTCAAGCACCATCTGCACACCACCACCTTTGCTTGTTTTCCGTGTTGCTCCCTTCGGACGACCCGGCACAGGAGTGGGGTTTGCTGGGGGAAGATGATTGGCCGCAGGGTTAGGCTGAGGATGGAATGGACGATGGAATTGTGGAGCTGGTGAAGGCGGCGGCTGTGGGTGGGAGGTGGGAGAGGTTGGAGCTTGGTTCGGGATAGAGTCTTGCTGATCCACGGTCTCGCCGAGGGGTGACGGAGTTTCAGGCTGAGTCAATCGACTCACTGACCCATCATTGTTACGCAAGGGAGGCGAGTTCCTCGAAGAGTCGGTCTGTGAATATTGTCGCGAGTGCGTTGAGCCAGTTGGGGGAAGGCAGTCTTCGGGATTCCTGGAGAATTGTCAGTAAATAGGACGGTTCGTTCTCGCGCACACTCTTCATTTGACTCACTTCGATGCTGCAATAGCTTCCGCGGCATTTCTATGACTAGTTAGCGGATTTCACATTTCATGCACACTATGCGCTAGACAACATACCCTCGGAAAGTCACAGTCGTGTAATCAAACGGCTCGAACATGGTTTCAATCAGACGGTGAAGCTCATCTTCCCTGATTTCCTTCGCTGTAGCGTCTTCTCTTAATTCTGCTCGTGGCTTCTGTCGGCGAGCTCTGGCCTCGAGTGGTGCCTCCTCAAGAAGCAATTCCTCCAGATCATACGTGGCGTCAAAGTTGGTTTTATCGCTAGAGGGTCTGAACACTGGTGGGACTTCCTTGTGCTCAAGTGCTACAAAGTCGAGTTCAGCGAAGAAGGGGTGAGTAATATAACTCTCCCAACTCGAGGCACCGATCCGTTTGCTTCGGTCCTTCTCCATGAGTGCACCCATCGCTCGCAAGCATGGAACCGAGACTGCCGGGTTAGTGACATAGTACTTCGGCTGAGCTTTTTTGATGTTTTCGCTCAGTACGTCCTGGCTACGACCTTCAAATGGTCGCTTTGAGTTTTGTTAGCGTTGATTCCAGGCTAAAGAACACGCTTCAACAAACCTTGTTGTAGATACACTCGTAGAATGTTACTCCTAATGACCACCAGTCAACTTCGCAATAGTATCCGCCGCCCTCGTATACTTCGGGCGCAAGATATGCTAGGGTCCCTGATTTACTGGTGAGAGGCTTTCCAGGGCGGAAGTCTGAGGCCACATTCTGCAGCAAAGACAATAGGTTAGTTTTCCATATTACCGGAATGCCCCGATTCAGATCCAACAGGAGGATAACATACGAAATCAGCCAAGTGGACGTGTCCTTCAGAGTCGAGTAGCACATTGTCCGGCTTCACATCTCGATGAATAATGCCTTGCGAGTGGATATATTTCAGCGCACACCCGAGTTCGGCCATCCAAAAGCGCACCGCGTCTTCGGTAAAGCATTTCCTTGAGATATGGAACCGCAGATCACCGCCATTCATTAGATCCACCACGATATAACTTCTCAAATATCAGCAACATGGCAAAGGGTGGAGGAGGAGGGGAATAACTGCGTGAAAGAACCGCTGCAAGACGCACATATATTCTATATCTTGGAAGCTGTATCTCAAGTTGCACAGGAATGGATGGTTCAAATGCTCGAGCATTCTCCGTTCACGGATGATATTCCGTACACTTTCCGACCGAACCACTGCAGAAGAAATACTTCAGTTAAGACAAGATGAACAGGATCAACCTTGGGTTCGTACCTTCTTCTTTTCGGATGTATTTGAGCGCAAATGTCAAACCGGTATCCTTTTTCTCCACGATACGAACCTTTCCGAAAGCACCTTTCCCGACCACGCGAAGTAATCGGAATTGGTTCAGGTTGACTATTGCCCCCCTGCGGTCAGCGTGATGTCCGAATCGAAATCAAAAACCGCTTTTGTCGGTTTCAATGGACGACTGGGCAACATAAACGTACTTTCATCGGTGGAGCACACCGGCTTCCCCTGCGAATTCCCCATTGAGAAAGTTGTGTGACAACAGAGGCTAGAAAGAGTTCGTTGGAGTAACTTCAGACCACATCCCACTCGAGCCTAGTAGTTATTGTATGCGTCGGCGTAGCACAAATTCGGCTTTATGTATTCTACTGTCTGCGGAATCGGAATGATAAGACAAGAGGAAGGCGAGTTTGAGGAAGGCGATGAAAAGACGGACCGGCCGAAATGACGAGGCGAGGTGAAGGGGCTGTATTAAGTAGAAAACAGACGCAGTCTAGTTAAATCAGACCTATGGTTCCCGAGACAAAAGTGTTAGCCCGCAAACGAAGCATCGCCAAGTTATGCAGAGGCTGCTGCGCCCGAATGATACGGGGAAACGTGGGCGGAGGGGCTCGATTTCCAGATTTGCCAGGAAACAATACTTTGCAGGTAAAACGTACCCTCGGTAAGATGCAATGGCTTCGGAAATCAGAGAGATTATTTAGACAGACACTGCTTCCAAAGCTCGGAAGTGAAGCAGGACGTGAGTGAGGCGGAGGGAAGACAGAGGAGAGGCGATTTAGGTGGATTGAAGCAAGACGACGTGAGAGAGAGCGGCAGCCCCTAAAACGGAGTAGTTTGATAGTTAGTAACCTTAAAGCCTTCCGTCAGAGAAAAAGCGAACGGGCCGTATGTTTTAGGTCGTGTTCTTTTCTTTTTCCCTAGAATAATATTTTTTTTGTGAGAAGTACAATTATTATTCCTTTGAGAATTCTAATATTTTGACTTTTGACCCTTGACTGATGAGGATTAAAATCATCCGATAATATTATAAATCTATTTTTTTGTGTTATGTTTCTGGAAAGGATAGAAAAGCAAAACTTAAAAGAACTATTAGATACGGGGAATTAACATGGCCCAGGCTCTTCTTCTTTTCTTTTTCCTTCCTTCCTTCCTTTTTTTTTTTTTTTTTTTTTTTTTTGCTTTTTTCATTTGTTTTTCTTTTCTTCTTTGTTTTTTGTTCTTTCTTCTATTTCGTTTCTGACGCAGTGCAATGCGAGAAGACTAATAGTTCAAAAGGACGGAAGGAATACGATACGAAAATCAAATGGGGCCGAGGGCCAGGATTAAGCTATGGCTTAGCCTGCTCGGAAAAGTCCAATGAAAGAGTGGCAAAAATTTCCCAGGAGAAGGCGGTCTGAAAAAGAGAGTCGTAATGCCTGCACTCCAGAGTGGGTTTTCTTTTCTTTTCTTTTTTTTTTTTTTT